GGATGAACTCTTTTCACTTGCAAGGAAAAGGGTTTTTAATGAGGCACCCAAAGAAAGAATCCAATATTTGTAGTTCTACGCCTCTCACAAACTCGGTCACCCTCGCCAAGACTCTGGACCTACTCGGCCACCCTTACTAGGGGCTTTGATCCGGTAAAAAGTCAAAGCATACTCTACGCCTCTCGCAAACTCGGTCACCCTCACCAAGGCTCTGGACCTACTCGGCCACCCTTACTAGAGGCTCTGATCTAGCAAAAATTTAAAGCGCAATCTATGCCTCTTACAAACTCGGTCACCCTCACCAAGGCTCTGGACCTACTCAGCCACCCTTACTAGGGGCTCTGATCCCAAAAAAGTCAAAGTGCACTCTACGCCTCTCGCAAACTCGGTCACCCTCACCAAGGCTCTAGAACTACCCGGCCATCTTACTAGGGGCTCTGATCTGAAAAAAAGTCGAAGTGAACTCTACGCCTCTCGCAAACTCGGCCACCCTCACCATGGCTTTGGACCTACTCGGCCACCCTTACTAGGGGCTCTGATCCGGAAAAAGGTGAAGTGCACTTAATGCCTATCGCAAACTCAGATTCACTAAAAACCCAAGAGTATTTTAGAGCCCCCATGCCTCTGTCCACATCTATAAAAACTCCCCACACAAGGGTCGAATTCCATAAAAACTCCCCACACAAGGGTCAAGTTCCATAACTAACTCCCCTCATCAAGTTCGAGTCCCATAACTAACTCCCCTCATCAGGGTCGAGTTCCATAACTAACTCCCCTCATCAGGTTCGAGTTCCATAACTAATTCCCCTCATAAGGTCTGAGTTCTATAACTAAATCCCCTCATCAGGGTCGAATTCCATAACTAACTCCCATCATCAGGGTCGAGTTTTATCATAAACGCTCCCCTCATCAGAGACGAGTTTTATCATTAATGTTCCCCTCATCAGAGCCGAGTTCTATCATAAACATTCCCCGCATAAGGGTCGAATTCTTTAGATAACACTCGAGTATTCCAGAATAAGGAAACTTTAAAGTTAACCGAATAAGAGCCCACTGAGGCGATTCCGAGAACATGAACAAGTTCACATGGGGCTCATACCGCCAAATAACTCAAAAATCGGGTATGGTCGTGTTTCAAGAGGTACCCCTAAGCGGCTTAAAATGACATGGGAAGTGACTAAGGGCTCTTATAAGATAATGCTTGGCACTACATGATCAGACACAAGCAGCATGGTGAACTTTTATGTCTGAGGGGCTTATATATATACCAGATTATTTTAAAAAGTCGAAAATGCACAAACAAACAAAAAAGCAAATGATGGGTTAAGATACACGGAAAAGCAATAATTGCACAAAGCCACAAAGGGGGCAGTCGGAAATACAAAATCCTGGAGGCAATAGTCAAAAAGTAGCAAAAGGATGGCGAACCATTCCTTACAAAAAATTACATAATTGCATCCTTATTGGATGACTAACAGAAACACAACCAAAAAAAAGAATCATGCAGTCGGGTTCTCCTTCCTGTCACCATCATTGTTGTTCTTCTCAACAGAAGGATCTTTAGGATTTGCTTAAGGAGAAGGATTCTTTTCCACCTCTTCAAGATCCACAAGGCGGCCGTCTTGCACCACCCTGAAATAATCCATCTTTGATAAGTCCAAGTCGGGATGAAGGCACAGTATCTGGTTCTTAGCCCGTTCGAAGGCTTCATAACCAACAGAGAGAAGATCCACTTGAGACTTCCTAAGAGCCTCTTTTAGCTCGTCAGTGGTAATATTCAGCTCATCATTAGTAGCCTTCTCCGCCTTCAACATTTCGTTGAGTTGAGTAAGAAAGGCCTTAGTCTCCGACTCCAAAGTTTCCTTGCGCTCTTTCTCCTTAACCAAGGTTTTCTCCACGCCAGACAGCTTCTCAGACTGAGCCTTCTGAGCCTCCTTCAACTTCTCTTCCTTCAGTTTCAACTCCGTCTCCTCATGATCATCAGTAGATTCAAAGAGACCACGGGTTAGAATTTCACACCTCATAAGATAGGAACTGAGATTTTGTGTCATTTTCTGTTGACCAACGAACTTAACCTTGTTGACATCCTTGGTGGCATTGAGATGATCATAGAGAAAGCGGAGCTCATCAAAGTTGTTGGACCAAAACTTGAACTCTCTAGAAGCATGGCTATCCCCAGGTTCTCCCATCAGATAGGTAATCTCCATATCAGCTCGGCACATCTCATCGCTCATTAGGGTCTTGATCCTTTTGGGAGTACTTGTTGGACCTCCTATTGGATGACTGGAGCATAAGCTTAGGGCTCATCCACGCTGGAGGTAGCCTTAGAGCCTACCCCTTTGCGCCTCTTAAAGTCCGGGTCTCCATCCCGGACAGGTCCGACTTGATTTTGGAGGCCCCACCTCCACCCCTCCAGGAAGCCCTTACCTCCGTCATCAATTTCTTCTACTCGTCCAAGGAAAGATATGTCATATTATTTGTAATAAAAAGAAAAAGATGGTGTAAGTATTGTATAAGAGAATGTGACGGCTAAAACAAAAACAAAGGCTATTACAAAGGTTAGAGACAATAAATCTTTGACCTTCATCATAGGGAAAGAATCAAGTACGATCAGATCTTGGACATCCAAGTCGCTCAACTTCTCAAACGTAAACCTGGATATAGGAGAACGGTCTCGGGTCCAGTAGAATGGAAAATGGGGTTGCCCACCCAAAGAATATAAGACTTGGGGGCACCTCGGCCCATATTTCACCTTCAGGAATCGCTCCTTGAAACTCTTATGGTTGGAGGTATACACTTGGAGGAAACTTCTGTGAGGAAGACTATTAACTTGGATCCATGAAAGCTTCTCAACCCCTTTTACCTCATAAAAGGAAAGGAACATACCTACTTTGGGAACGATATCCATCACCTTATAGAATATCTCTAAGGCCTTTATAAAGCCCCAACTATTGGGGCGAAGTTGTGAGGGCGCGACATTCATGGCCTTCAAAACATCAGCCTCAAACTCGGAGAAGGGTATGCAGACTCTGAAATATTCCAATACCCCAGCATAGAAATAAAAGAAGTATTCATCTGTGGGCTTTCGACGAAGCACACATACGCGATCTCTAGGGACGCACGCCTCCAGGATAACGTTGCTTTCTTTGTCGTTTGAGGAGACGGCTATCAAAGACCAAATTTTAGCGATTTTTGTATCATCGAGCACGCTATTCTTGTAACCCATGACTTCGAGGTTGAAAGGGGCAGAAGCTTCCATCAGAAATTCTACGGAACCTGAGGAGGAAGAATCATGGTGAGAATCACTCAAAGAAGTAAGGGTGAAACCATAAACTTCCCTTGTGATCCGGTCAAACCCCTCCTGACCTAGAATGCTTGTACATGTCGCATGCATTGTTCCCACAATTATTTCCTCTCCTTGATGTTTAAGGGTTTTACGACATTTCCTTCGTCATCACACTCCCTCAGGAAAACCATAATATAAAAGCAAAACAAAAACGAAAGGGTAAGAGAAAGTACCTGGAAAAGGGAGAACACTTGAAGGTGATTGAACGCCTTTGAAGATGTAACACCTTCTACAATGTTAGAGATAAAAAGCAAATAAGGAAAAGTATGGCTTTAATAGAGTTCAATGAACAGTGCGCTAGGGGAGGGAAATGTCACCCAATGAAAAAAGATTTAGGTGGAAGTCATCATTACTTTAGGAAAGAGAAAGTGGTGACTCTTCACTCCACGACACGTGGGTTAGAATAGAGCAGCAACCCGGCAGCGCCTGCATTACCTTTCGCGACTACGTGGCCGAATACGACATCCTTACAAGAAAGGACTTGAACTCGAGAGCTTATGTACATCCCGAAAATAATAGGCCCGACCGGGTATAGTAATCGGTAGATCTAAAGGTTAAGCCAGTGGACAACTCATGGACGAAGGTATCCAGGATGTAACTCGGTTAAAAGAATATCATATGATCCACGAACCGGGATAGCAACCCGTCATCATCATCACCCGGATAAGGTAGGTGGCCGAGACGCACCTGTCTATGATCGGTCATCAGCTTGGGTCATTAATGCATGTAACCTTTGACGATGCAATCATTACAGCATTACACAACTTTGATTCCTCCATTCATGGAGACGGCGGAGGTTATGGAGTTATAGAACTCAAGGGTCACTCATTAACAAAGGCTCTTGATGATGCAAAAGATACATATTATATAAAGGGGCTCCCGCAAGATGGATAAGCAAGACATTCATCTTAGGACACACGTTTCACTGGCATAGCTCCCAAATCCTCCAATCATTTTATAAACTTACTCTGGTAAACTCTCCCTAGCAACAGACAGAAAGTCGGTCGGATATTCATAGAATTTTAATATTTCAAAAGGAAATCCAAAAAAAAATTTCAAGAGGATAAAATGAATCTCACCTATATTACAATAGGTATTATATATTTAATTCTTCACATTTTAAATTTAAAAACAACTAATATATGAATTTAAATTTTAGACCATTCAAATATGATCGAGCGATCTAGATACATGTTAGTCACGTAGACCAAGAAATACTATGAATAATTGTCCAATAGATAAGTGATTACATACATCTGTTAGAATAATAATACAAGTGTGAGTAAGTGAGAAAATAGTCATACTTTAAATAGAAATGTGGAGACTTGAACATATATAAGTAAGAGAATCCAGTAAGCATCTAATCAAATGACACTATGTCATATTTTTAAGATAATTTTAAAATATTTCATTTTTTTTAAATCGTTATGATTTAATTAAATACATGTATTAAGTAAAAGTGTTTGTACTCTATGTACATAAAAATTTAATAAATAAAAATTTCAGTCTATCATTATTAAAAAACCAAAAATCAATCAAACCTCATCTAGTACATTATTTCTAATGAATTATTTACATGTGTTTTATTCAAAAACTTGCAACTTTCAAAAAGATGCAAATGGAGCAATAGAATTTTGTACTATACCCATAGAAATCAAGTAAGATATGAGGCAATATTGCTTAATAGAGAGATGTTACCTTTGAGTGGAAAATATCCTCTTTTCTGAAGCTGATCAAAGTTTAGATATCCCAACATGCCACAACCACTAGGAGTAAAAAACTTGAACTCAGGAATATTGAATTCTTGAGCAACTTTATATGTAAAATTCATTACACCATCAGAAACTATGCAACTAACAGGAGGCACATTTTGTGAAGAAACAAGCTTTGCTATAAGAGCTCTGAATGAAATCAACCCAACAACAGGCATAGATATGCACAAATCTGGTAAGTCCATTATCCCTCGTTGGTTTTCTGCTGGCAATCCATCAGATATGGTCTCAAATCTAAAATCTGGAAGACCCTTTAAGGAATTTGAGCCATTAGACTTGATCAAACGATCAAAATTATATTTTGTGTGGACAAAGGTTATGTAGAAGCCACTGTGATGGAGGAGTTTTGCTAGTTTTAGCATTGGGTTTATGTGACCTTGTGCTGGGAGAAAAAGTTATATAAAAATAAAGGTAAACAAAAAAACAATAAATTAAAGTGTCATATGAAATAAGTTAGAGAAAATACACGAGTTCACCTAAAAACTATTTCCAAGTCAGATAAAACTCTTTTTCATTTCTTTTATATAATTGTTGAAACACAAGAAAAAATATCATCATTGGAGGTCATCCAAATAAACAGACAACAGTTGGTAATTCCCGAAGAAAGAAAGAGTTTGTGTGAATTAGGATATGTTTAAAATGATTTATTATATGATATTATATCCTAACATAAATATTTAAGCATCTGTGAGACTCTTTTAGAGATACTGCAAAAGCAACTTAAGTTATGTTTATAAGTTGTTTCAATTTATTCGTATAAGCTTTCTAATATAGTTTATAAAAATAACTTAAAACAAATATGAAATTAAGCAATTCACCCTTATAGTTTAATCAATTTTAACTTTATCTTACCTATTATTGACACTTTGTCATATTAGTATTTTTTTCAGTAGCTTATAGTCTGTTAGATACATTCTTTTACTAACATTGCATGAATTTTAGCAAAACTATAAGGCATGTAAAGACCATTTTGTAAAGTCTCATTGCACCTCAAATCACTCTAACTAGACATCTATACGGTGTTTGTACATGGTGGGTTTTACACTGGCGGGAGGCGGAACAAGAAAGGCACACAAAAGTATAAAGAGAAAACCATTCCTGTAAATCATCTCGCACTGGTATGAGATCATGGCACGATTTAGCATTCAATCATACGTTTCCAAGTGGATTAAATGACAAATAGCAGCACGATGGAGAAAAGTTGTAGTGCGATATGACTCGTTGAAACCTACATTATAAAAGGAAGACTCGGAAATTCATGTGTCACTTCTTGAAATTTTTTAGCTATAAATAGTTCTATTATGAGTTGTTAAACCCTCCTTTGATTAGGCCTTTAAATGAATTTATTTTGAGGATGTTTAATCATGTAATTTGTTTTGTACTAATCTATGCAATTGATCATCTAGTATTATTCAATTAAGTTTATGCCTAATGCTATTATATATCGACAAATGTGTAAATAGATTCTAAGTTGTGAATGATTAGTTATTATAATTATTACAACTCAATTTAACTTAATTGTTTAATAGATAATATTTCTAGATAACCTATATTGTCTGCTTGTGATTTAGGGAGTTAACGTTCAGTAAAATCTTCTTTAATTGATACATTAATGATTTAGGGAATTAACTGTGGAACTATGTGTTTGTAGGTTTAACTAAGAAGTGATCACAGTTAAGCAAGTTATGTCTAGACCTATTATAGTTTTGATGATGACAACCAATGAAGATGCAACATGGCTTTGATAACAACTCATGAAGACGTAAATTGACTTTGATGGCAATAAATTGTTAAGGAAAGAAAGTGTTAAAATTGTTTCAAGAGGTAAAAGGTGCACAAGATAATTTGATCATGCTTTTTCTATAAATAAAGCCAAAGAGTTAAGGTTTAATGATCATCGTGACATCCTTTGATGATGGAGTCTGGCTTGAAGATATCTTAAACCTCATCTCCAAGAAGACTCGAGAAAATTACTTATGTGGCTGGTGTATTTGACAAAGACATGAAGCTTTAGAGTATCAAAGAGTGAAAGTGTGAAAGCTCGTTTGATCGTGTCTGAGTGATCAGTATTTTGTAAAAACACAATAGCGTTTTTGTAAAAAAAAATATGGTTAAATCACACACTACTAAAACTATTTTTAAAGCCTCTATTGCTCAAAGAAAAAAACCTAAAATTGTTCTAGAGTCTAGCCAAATGAGTTGTATACTCACAGAATGATTAGGACATGCCTTCTGAACTATCCAATCGATTGGACCATATACCCAATCGATTGAATATGAGAAAATGAGTCTATAAGCGATTCTGATAGTGTTTTAATGAAGGGTAATGACTCTCAATCAAATCTTTTCAAAATGGGCACAAATAATTGATTATTTAGGTTATCCAATCGATTGGATAATTCATTTTGCCCATGGATCATTTTCTTTTTTGAATCTACCTTTGGCCTATAAATAGTGGTCTCTCCCTTCACTTTTCATATCTAGAAATGCGAGTTATCTCACCTTCCTCCTTTTCTCTCTAAAATATTTTTTCTTTCTCCCACATAAATTTGACCATAGTGCTTTCAGAAAGGTTGTTGTGCTTAAGGAAGCTTGTTCAAGAAAGGGTAATATTGTAAATTCATCGAGAGTTATTTTACCTCTTGAGTGAATTTTTCTTCCTTAGGAAGTTTTGGTCTGGGTTCGAAGCAAAACATGTTAAGAGCTTTGGTTGGGGCATTTAGTATTAAGTCTTCGTTTGGTTCGTGAGCTGAGCCACTTAAGGAAGAACTCTCTTTATGGGTTCTTGAATATAACTGGTGAAAAATATTCTTATAGATTCTTGGTCTCATCTCGGTGTAAAAGCTCAGTTGATTCGAGATCAGTCTGGTGTAAAATTTCAGTTTGGTTCGTGGTCAGCCCGTGTAAAACCTCGGTTCGGATCAAGGGATAGTCTATTCAAAACTCTGCATTGTTTTGATATAAGTTCGTATAAAATATATGTTTAGCTTGGGAAATAACTGCTAGAAGCTTCGTTCTTTTTTTTAAATAGGACTAACCGCATCATTCCATTGTTTACTGTTTGGTTGGAAGTAAACCTCAAACTTTAGTTTTTTTTTATATAAGGGGTTCGTGAGTTTAACCTTTTAAAAGATCATAAATATTATTGAAAACTATAAAAATTAGTTCTTGGGGAGAGGAGTAGGTCATCTATTTTCCCTTATCTATTTACTATCCTCATTTTTTCTTTACATTTTTTACGCTGCAATATTCAAACATTTTCTTAAAAACATTCTTGAACAGTGATTTAGAAGAAGAAAAATATTTTAAACCAATATTTTCGAACTCCCACAATCACCACACCCCCTCTTGTGTATGGAGTCACATATTTTCAAACATCTGATCTTGGACCCGATACATGACTTACACATCACGTTGAAGAGACTCTTGAGATTTCTACCGTGCAGTAGCCACTTCTTTCTTAAGGCCTTTCAAAGCATTGATTTGTTCATCCTTCTTCCATTGAAGGACTTTCTAATCCACTTCAAATTCATGACATACTTCGGCCGCATCTTCATAAGCCTTCTTCCAACGTTTATCTCCCTTAGCAAGAGAAGCCTTCAACCTCATTATCTAAGCAACCAAAGTTAAAGAAGTATTGTATTGATTTACCTCTTCCTGCAAAGAGTCGGCAAGCTCGGAATTTACCTGCAGCCCAACCAATTCATTCTCATCCTTATAATTTTCCCCCTCAAGGGCCTCATATTTCTCCTTCGGCTTATCTCGCTCCCTAAAAAGTTTCCCATATCCCAATACATCGTCCTGGCCGGTAGCCACTAATGAAACCAGGAATCCAAACCTAAATAGGGTTCGAGAAGCATCTGTAAAAAGACGCCTCTTGTCATTTAAAGATAAGCTCTGGAAAAAGGCTAGGTCCTCGTTGGCCAAAACAACAATAAATTCCTCTATGGTGCTATTGTGTTAGGTACTTGATATGGAGAAGAGCAGGAAGCTGAGAGAAAGGAGTATGAGCCTCTGAATCTGCACCCTCCGACAGGCGAGCCCGTTTGGAAGAATCTCCTTCAAGAGGAATAGACAAACTATCACCTCAAATCCTCTTGACAAGAGAAGGAGATGGTGAAGGCTCACGGATAAAGAAGTCAAACACTATAGTAGTCAGTTGTTCCCCTCAAGAATTATATCTGAGATAGTAGTCACAACTACTATCAGGGTAACAATTGTAGCCAGTGTCTGCTGAAGCGGTAAAGTGGCAAGCAAAAGTAAGTAAGTATTTAGTTTTATCATATCATCTCCATAGGGATTAATGTTACTGAATTAACGTTCGACAAGTATCTCGTTAATGAGTTTGGTTTAAAATGGGTTTATAGTAAATGCGGGAACTAAAACTATTAACAGAAAAAAGAATTTACTCTTCAAAGAAAAGAAACTTATCGGGCATGCATATAATTCACTCCTCACAAACTTAAACCTATCGATCAGTTATTCTTAACCTACAATATTCATCAATGTCATCATGTATCAACCATAACACCCATTATATCATCTCGGTGGACATCTCTCAACCAACCTTAACAACACAGAAGACAACTACGTTACTCGCGTTGATGATCTCTCAGCACAACACAACCAACATATAGGAATTAAGCACAGACACCCAAGTGAATAATAGCTCTAAATTTATCTCTAGAATCTAGACACTATCAGATAATCACCCTAGATAATAATTCGAGCAGTATATGTCTATAGCAACCCAAACCTCAAGCGCGGGGCAAAAATATAGGATAATAATCGACAAGGATTTGTAAAGCAAGCTTTATATAATGCCATGGGCGATAAATATATAAGAGTTTAAAGTAAATACATATACAAAACCCAAAAATGAAGAATACACAAAGAAGAATAGAAATGAACCACAAATCTCTCGGTTTGTCAGTGTCGATCAATGAGAAACCACCATGGATCATCTGTGTGCAAACTTCGTTGTTGTTTTCTAAGCTAATCCTAATGAAAATGAGATTGATGGAGTTGGGAGAACAAAAACCACCCCAATTAAGAGTCGATAAGTGCCACAAAACTATATACAAAATAACTACAAATTGGCGCTTATCAAACTCTCTCCAACTTAAAACATTGTTTGTCCTCAAACAAAGTCAAACAATCTATAGAAACAAAAGACGATAATCTAAGAATCACGAATCAATAGGTTTTGAAAATGGAAAACAAATGTATGGTTCAAACAAAAACGCATAACCAAAGTAAATACTTACCACAATCCTACAATGGCAACATGAAAACGAAACAAATCCTAAGTACAAAAATCATGCCAAACAGTCTAAAACAACACAAGCTAAATCATGAATCA